CCCAACCAACATCCGTGAATGGGGACAAACCGATGAGCATGTACACAACCTACCAGGACCAGACGCGAAGTTAATCAGATGGGTCAACTGGCGCCAGTCGTCGGTTTTAAGTGCTGCCTTTGGAAGTGAGCAGCTGAGGAGGGTGTGCGAAAGACCGGAAAGGCTGCTGCCTTACCCTGTCTTCGGCCAGAGTCAGTGTACTTCCCCCACTTGGTCTCCAAACTTCGACTTTCCAAACACTAGCTGTGACTTTATTTTTTCTTAGCACCATTTCGAGATGCCTGAAGACACAGGGCTGCCTAGGGCTCTCAGACTAGTTGCCGATGAGATCTCCCGAATCCCATATGGATCCATTCTATGCGGTGATTGGGGGAAAGGTAGGTCCTGAATTTTGTAAAGCAAGGCCCCTGACAACAAACTGCTCGTCGATAGAGGCAAGGGGGCAAGTTCCAAGTAACAGTCGGAGAGAAGGAGATACGATCGTCGGAACACGAATTTTATTCGTCGGACGTTTCGGACTCACACTCGAAACGTCAGGCGGATAAATTTCTGGCTTCAGCAATCACGTCTCTTTATTCTCCGGTCGCAGCATATAGGGCGGGCGTGCTTTGTGAACCAAGACGCAAATCGACAAAAAGCCATGTTGAAAATTGGCGGCAGATGATAGAAGTCCGGGCTAGGCAGAAAAAATGCCTCCCCAGGAATTGTAAAAAAACGTCTGATTAACACTTTCTGGTGGATGATTGCTGCCACGTGGTCTTGCCAACTCCAACAAGAACGACAAAGCTACCGTATGTACTTATTCTGGGCTGCCGATCCCTCCCTTGGTTCTGTCGATTTGATTTCTCATATCAAAATGAACTTATCAAGGGACAGGTTCATATCCAAAGGGAGCCAATATGTTTCGTTAGTCTGAAGCAGTTAGCCACTGATGGCGTCGAGCAGCGACTAGGCAAGAAGAAAAAATGTGGATCCACTGCAACCGCTAAGGCACTGAGGCTGTTTTATCATCCAAGAGGCCTACGGAGATATGGTGCCGACCACCGTGTGGGCGATTAATCTGTTAACAGTCTGCACGACGCGTCAATGACGCCGACAGAAAGAAGACTGGTTAGTTCTTATGAGCAGCACAGTCGGGTAATATGCAATGCTGAAAAAGTTTGTCGCTCTCTAGTGCCAAAAAGGTAAACAGAAATATACTCACCTCCAGAATGAGGCGCGATTTGGACACGACGCAGTCATGACGTAAGAGGGAAAGCACTGCAGTCACATCGCTGGTCTCCATCGAGTGATAACCCAGGCGCCTAACGATGGCCAGAAGGTGGTCAATCAATTTCAAGATCGAGCCATCAGAAGCGGTTTTATTGTCCTGAAGAAGAAGGGAAATATCTTTGACGAGTAGGCTAGGGAATCTGCATCAACAAGGAGCTTAAAAAGGCTTGACAATCAAGTATGACCCAAATGAAATGCGGAGCAAGGTGATGGCAGTTTCGAGGTGACTATTTACACAGATGGACGTAAGGGTTTGTGCATACGCCATACCTGCCCACCCCCACGTCCCTAGGGCACATATGAAGCCCCTTTACACCGTGCGCCCCACCTCGTAACAGTCATACGCTTTTCGCACAGCAAGTACGCCATCCGTTTCGCCACCGCCGGTGCGGCCGGCGCAAAGTCATATGCCAAGACATGCACATCTCACGCAAGTGCAGAGTTTGTTCTTTAATATATCCTGGTACACAACTTGGTGGTCAGATCGTGTGTGGCACGCGTAAGCGGACTGCCTAATTATGTCGGACGCTACACCCAAGACGACCGCCAGATGACTGACAGATTCGGACAGTCGACCGCTGCGTGGGGGAGAGAGAGGGGACAGTGAGGCTGATACTAGGAAATCAGTCCTCATGGCGCATCAGCACATCCCTCACTATAAAAATCTGGCGCGCCTGAGCCTATCACGAAGAGGCAAAAGGTGCGGCTGGGAAGGTTGCCAAGTGACACGATAACTAGGCCCCCACGGAGGAGGACCAAGTCAGGCTCAGTGGCTCCTTCAAAACCCGGCCCTTATGACACTAGCACGCATGCGAGATCCGAGATACCCACCCGCATTTTGTGAAAACCAGGTGTTGTGTGTGCGTGGGGGAGGTGTGTCATGCGTAAAACGCGTGGATGGGCCCCGAACCCCTCACCAAATGACTGCGACTGGGCCAGTAGACTGGTGTCTGGGAGAGGGAGGGCGAAGTACGATCTTGTTTCAACGTATCACGACGCGCCAAACGTCGTGAGTTGGGAGGTTCCCAACTGACGGTACAACTTCCGCACCATGGACGGCTCTGTGTGTGTGTTTGTGGGTGAGGGCGTGTACAGTGGTGGGTTCACGTGACGGACGTAGTAGGCCGCTCGTTTGCTTGCAGGTGTAGACTACGCCTAGCCTCCATTTGCTGGCACTCAGCTCTCACTTGTTGCTCCCCGACGCTAGGTTCTGCCTAGCGGCCACACCCCGGTGACCGCCTGGACCAGTGAGCTAAACTAGGTGAGAGTATCTGTGTGTGCGTCTTCGCACACGGTAATCTCGGCTTCGCTGGCCGGATGGATCATCGCACAGGCTCCATCTGGCACACCGTAGGAGATCACAAGGTAAGTGAGCTCCCAGGTAAGCAAATGTTGCCCTGCTGCCGTTGCTTTGCTTGTTCTTGTTTGCCTGCTCTCTGTCTGTTTGTTTGTGTTAGTGCTTGTTGAAAACTAAATGCCGTTCTGCTGGATTTCCCCTACTGCCTTTGCTTCTTGCTGCTCCTGCCTGCTTGTTCGTGTCCGTCCTTGCTGTAAACCAAATGCCGTTCTGCTGATTGTGTCTGCTCACCGCTTATATTTCAGCAACCAGTTGACCTAGAGAATGACCGCAAATCTCCGCATCCCGTCTCTCTACCATTCCTCCCTTCCCCCTTCATGTCCTATAGCAATGTCGTAGGCAGGCCCAGGCTAACTCGGGTCATTCTCCTACTAAATAAAAGCCGCGGCCCATAGTGGAGTTTGGCAGCCGCTCGGCACAAGTAAGCAGCCCTATTTAGGGAGAGCACTGCTCACCCCCACGAGGGGGATGGGGCGAGAAAAGGCGCCGTAAACAAATGCTGAGGGTCCACGCCGTCTGCAGGCTGACCGTGGTCGCAGACGCAAAACACACGGTCGAAACAATCAAAATGGAAAGAACACTCTCCCTAACGAATGGAAGAGAATATGTGCATCCCAGGTTCTTGTTTAAAAGAAGACGAAGGCACGCTCACTGGTCGTTCGGAGAGGCGACCCACTATCTCAAGTCGCCACTCACACGCTGGAGGAAGGCCATGAGTTCGACTTCGCCAACACGCGGATATTAGCGCGAGCCGGCAACAAGACGGGCGAGAACAGTTGGAGGCGTGGGTGCCGGACATCAACTCGATCAATAGACACATTCATTTGCCTGCGTGTTATCATGCACTCCGCCCACGCAGTCAGATGGTGCAGCTCACATCGCCACGACGTACAAACGGCGTTGCCACGCCGAGGGGGCCATTGTGGGCCAGGCGGCACAAACCACACCTAGCCACGGACGCAGTTCCCCTCCCCTCACGGCACAACGATATAAATGTTCACACGTTGCTGCACTCTAGCAGTCTCAGATGATGAACTCCAGATCGAGTTCAAAGGCTAAGGCCAATAAATCTACCGTCCCAGTGGTCGTGCCTTCGTCGTCTTTTAAACACTCTCGCTTCCCCCTCCTTTTCCCCGCCGCCCCACTCACCAGACTGGTAGGGTGAATCCGCCCACTCTGGCAGCCTAGAATGTTCGTTCCCTTTTAGACAATCCGAGGAGCAACCGACCGCAACGGAGGACAGTGCTAGTGGCTCGGGAACTGGCGTGCTATAAGGTGGACATCGCTTCACTCAACGAGACCCGCTTCTCCGAACAAGGCCAAACGGAGGAGGTTGGTGCCGGCTACACCTTCTTTTGGAGCGGCCGCCACCAAGGCAGGGCGACTGGACGCGTGGGTCGCCTTTGCCATCCGGAACGACATCATGAGACGACTGCTCTGTCTGCTGCAGGGCATCAACGATCGTCTGATGGGCTTCCTCCTGCCCCTCCGCAGGGTCAAATTCGCCATTATCGTCAGTTTCAACGCTCCCCCGATGACCAGCCCCGACGCCGCGAGGGACACATTCTACGAGAACGTGCACGCCCTCCTGGCGTCAGTGCCGAAGGCGGATAAGTTGATTGCCCTTAGTGACTTCAACGTCCGAGTCGGCAAAGACCATGCTGCCTGGAGAGTGTTGGGTCCCCATGGTCTCAACGGCTCCAATGACAATGACCTGCTCCCTCCATGAACCTGCGTGGAACACAGGCTCATGCTGACGAACATCTTCTTCCGCCTCCCGGTGCGAGAGAAGGCCACCTGGATGCATCCTCGGTCGCGACAATGGCGCCTGCTGAACTAGGTTCCCGTCCGGAGGCGAGACCAGCGGGACGTTCAGGTGACAAAGGCGATAACGGATGCCGACGGGTGGACCGACCATCATCTCATCACCTCCATGATGCGGATCCGCCCACAGCTTCGCAGAAGACCACAAGATAAGCGACCCCCAAGTAAGCTATTTATTGCTTTGTTATCTTTTCAGATACAAGCGCAGATGCGAGTTCCTGGAATAATTTGATAAGATGAAAAAGAAGCGGTTGTTGGAACAAGGGCTTTATTCGCTTGAGGTTTCGAAGCATGCCCAAAGGAGATTGTTGGCACAAACGGATCACTAGGCCGCACCTAATGATGTACCTGCTTTTTCGTAAAGTCAAGTCCTGGAAGCAAAGAAAGTTCATTCAATCGCCCTGGAAACTTTCGGAGCAAGTAGAAAACCAAAACTGCATTTTTGGGCTTAAAAAATACACTGCTGGAGACGTTTCTGTGCCGGCAAAACATGGTGCGTTAAGTTGTTTTTCTTTGAATTACTTCACTGAGGTACCGTCTAAGAGCTAATAATGATGGTTCGAGTTGCCTTGGGGACCGACACGATACGACTAGGCTGGAGGCGGCGGATGCGCAAGGTATGATAGGTGTATCGCTACTGCAGTGCGTTGCGCTGTCATGGAGACGCATGTGGCCGAATAGGCCCATGCGATGGATGAATGTGCGCAGACAATGGGGACAGTGGAGGCGGAGAGTGTGGGTTGGTGCTCCAGGCAGTGGTTTCCCAGCCTCTGTGCGATGGACTCACAAGTGACCGACCAGACCGGTGTGTGAGATGAATGTGCGATCGCAATGAGGACGGGTTGGGACCGAGTCCATAACGCTAAAGGGGGGGGGGTGGTGATGGCAAATGTCTTGGTGGTTGTGGGATCTAAACGGATTTTAGCAGGTGTTATCGGGAATACGTATCCATAACAAATCCCAACATCCGGGGCCTGACAGCAAGCAAGTTTGCAGGCTCTCGCTGAACCAATTAGGGGTCTTGCCGCCCTTTCCCTTTTCTGTGGTTGTGTAAAACCCTGGTCGGTGTACGTTGCGGACCACGGAGCGTGATGGTACACCTAGGTGCGGGTTTACGCCGCGCCAGTCACATTGAGCCTCACGCGCCTCCGGTCTTCTTGGCTTGACTGTGATGCCAGGTCCGGGTGGGTGAAGAAAAGAGAGTGCGGTAGATGCTGCATAAGCCCACTGTCACCATAATCTAATTCACGTGCAAGTCACTGTCCCTCCTCTCAGCATGCTGCACGGCACACGGTGGGCATCGTTGATTACGACGGTCGAGCTTTCGTCGGTGGTATTCGGGGTGTCAGGAGCGTTTTGGTCGGTGGCGGTAGTGGTAGGGGTGGTTGTGTTCGTCGTCGCCGCCGCAGTAATTGTGGCAGTGGTGATGGAGGTGGCGGTGATCAACGGCAGTGCGGCAGGGGGATTCGAGGCAACGTTGGTGAGGGTGGGCTCCGACGTGGACTTTGGGGCAGAGGCAGCCGTGGAGACGGCAATTGCGATCTTTGGGGTGTTGGTGCATTGGGTCCTAAGATTACCGATGAGGTCGATCAGCGCGTGAAATCTTCAATGACAGCGCAGAACGTTGGGTGGGGTTGGGTGGGGATGCTGCGAATCGGAGACGCCTGAGATTTGCGAGCAGCCCTTTTTGCTTCGGTTGTGGCGATCCGATGTGCTTCGTAGATGGTAGCGCCAGTCTTCACTTCTCTTCTTCATGCCGGTCTGTTTGGAGAAGGTCGGCCACATCCCTTTTTATCGGTGTACAAAATCCTGGTCAGTGTACGTTGTGAACCAGGGGATGTGGTGATATTCTTAGGTGTGGGTTTTCGCGGCGCCAGCCGTATGCGGCGTTTCCCGCCTCATGTTTTTCTTTGACTAGGTCATGAGACCGGGTCCACTTGGGTGAGGAGGAGGTAGTGCAGTAGATGCAGCGCAAGTCTGCTATTACTATATACTAACTCAGATACAATTCATCGTCCCTGTTCCCACCCTGTTGCGGAGCGCACAGTGGACATCGTCGAAATCGACGTTCGAACTGTCGGGTCGCTTTTAAGCATGAAGAATTAATAGAGAAATAGGCTAATCGATGGAGCTACTGAGCCCTGAGAGGGATCTTGGATCTGTGGATGCGTCAAAGTTGAACTTTATTTGAGACTTGAGTTGGTGAGCCGATCCAAAGAAAAGGTAGAGCTAGCTCACTATGTTGAGGAGCGGATTTTCGACCTACTATCGATGGGCTTACATCTTAGCAATCGCCTACGCACTGTCTTAGGAACAATTTTTAATTCATACGTTGCCTGCCTCGACGATGAGCCTGAAGAGCGTTCATGTGGGGGCTGTTGCGACAAGTCAACCAGTTCGGACAGGGAGCGTTGAAATCTGATGAGGTGGTGTACCCTATCTTTCTGCTTGTTGTTCACCAGGGACTTCAAGAAACAGATGTTTTGACGTAATCTTTATATTTTGGTAGTAATGCAGAAAATAATCCCATGGTAGAAAAATAGGGATGGAAGTGGTTAGGACCTGATGTTTAAAGAGGTGTGATTGGAAACGACCACTAGATGGGCATGAATTCTATTGTGTTTCGGCGGCGGAGGAGGGAATTCTGCAAAGAGGTCTAGCAGTGAAGATTTATGGCCCCGACTTCACGAGGACCAGTTGCCGGGGTGTTTGGTGCAATTGACATAGCGCTTAATCGGCTTGATAATGCCCTGTATGATGCTTATTCACGCAAGGCCACCTGCAACGGTGAATGGGGGTTTTAATCGTGGTCATCCACCGCTCGCCTCCCTCCCCCCTCCCGCCAATTGTTTGCTGAAAATTTGGAATCTATGGTTTTAAAATAAAGCGAATTCCTCTCTCGCTCTCTAGTCATTTCGCATAGCTTCCACGAATCGGGCAAATACAGTAGGAGGGACGCAAAAGGACGCCTAATGGCACTGCCCTGATCATCCGGTACAGCTTTGGTGACTGGAATAGGACACAATTCGCTGCGCGCACGACTCAACGGCGGTCCCATGGCTGGCCGATGCATGTCGTGTGTGGCGGGAGGAACCCAAACACACTGCGACAGGGGGGAGGGCACTGTATCGTTGGATGACTCACGTCCTTATCCTCCAGCAGCGATTTGGGCGTGGCCACGGATGGCACTGAGAGCTGTAGGTTGCGTTGGCAAACCGTCTGGTGCAGTGCGAGTAAAAACAGTACGTCAGGTTCCCACGCCTACCTTGGTGGTTAGGCATGAGCCCAGTCGGACCAAATCGCGCACTCACTCTGCCGGACACCGTAGGCCCAAAAAATTCGAACACAAGTCCCACTAACCATTGCCCGTGCAAAGGAGCGCTTCAATTCTGCCGAACACAGTAAACTCGGCCAACGACACAAGACGTTGCGATTACACTACATTGAGTGTGGAATCTCATAAAAACACTGAGATTGGTAAATAGCCTATCGGATGAGAAGGACTATTTATGACCGCAACAGCGGTTGACAATAAACGTAGACCCAGGTTAAATAAAGCGCGGTAAGACGTTGGCTTTCGAGTAAACATCTTTTTGCCTATTTGTATAGATCGAACTTGCAGACAAATCTCTACATAAATGGTATTCATAATGACCCAACTGTGAAAAACTCGGCGTCTCGGTGGGATTCAAACCTACGACAGTAAGGGGAATACTTTACTACAGCGAACGCTCTAACCACCTGAGCTACGAGGCCCCGCCGGACGACGCGAGTCATCTGGTGGATTCTAGGTGAATTACTTAAGAAATCCTGCTTGGGCAGTCAACTTACTGTATCAGATTTGGTGGACTTCAGACGTTGCAGTGCGTTGGGCGGGTAACTTGATTCAAATGTGATTAAACTCGCGTCGTCCGACGGGACTTCGTAGCTCAAATGGTTAGAGCGATGGCTGTACTAAAGCCCTCCCCTTACTGTTGTGGGTTCGAATCCCACCGAGGCGTCGAGTTTTTCGCAGTTGGGTCAATATGAATTATACAAAAGCTGCCAAAACATCTATGAATAAATTGTATTGCATTTTTCAATGAACCTTTTATGTCTATACAAACTCTGTCTTACTTTCTCATAGGGATGTACAAAAATTTCATCTCACATAGTTGTCTTGTTGGAGCTTTCTGCTTCTAGATACTACACCTGGAAGCGTTGTGATTTTTAAACAATTCTATTGACTAATATACTAGAAAATACCTGCGATTTCACGTGCTTTTGGAGGTTTCTAAACCAAATGCCATGGACTCTTGCTCTATCCCTAGCAGGCGGACTCCTAATGCATATAAAATATTGCAAGATGAATTACTGCAGCAAACATTTCTTTCACAGGTGGGTGTTAAGATGCTTAATAAGCGGCCAGAGCCTCAGGGCCTGCTTTGGATTGTGCTTCATTATCGGACTGCATAATCAGTTGAGCGGTCATTTCTACGCAAAAGCATGTAAAAGATTTTTAGTAGACATCTGCGTCTACTATACGTTCTCAGTGATTTACAAACGATGTTGCTGCCTTTCCTTCGCACTTGGCGCTGCCTCATTTGTTTTCTCGCTTGTTTCAATCGCAGCGCACGGTCTCATCGCAATCGACATAGAGCTCTGACATTTTGCACCAGAAGGTAGTCAATTTTAAACTCCTTCGGTGATCTGAGCCGTCTAGTCTCACAAAAGCATTACTGGCCTCACGGAGGGCGCTGGGCGGACAGAAGGTGTCGCCGCGGCTGCCAGTATACGCCTGCTCACTTTACGCTTGGGCTGACTTTTGTTGTCGTGAGTTTTATTTTTGCTTGACTGATGAGACCTGCACTTTTAAACGTTCGACAAATTTCTCATTTAGAATTGAACCCTGGTCGTTAACTCGGT